CTTGACTTGTAGTGCCTGATTGTAAAAAGAACAGTTGAATGAGCTCATTGTTTTCTGGTTTTTTTCTTTAATGTATTTTACAAACACTCCGGTGACAGGCCTGACACGCTGATTTCCATGTAGTCGCACTTCAGTTTGGGATTACAGCATTAATAACAGAGTTGCATGCATCGTGCCATTTTTAAGCATGATCGTTATGATAAAGGGCATATACTTAATTACAGGCCTGCTTAATTACAGCTCTGTTGAAGCTCGTTTGTTTAGGAGAATGCTAATTGCGCTACAGAGCCTGCGGCACATCCTTGCTTTCATCTCTGGATGTTGCTCGGTATCGTGGATCAGTATTTTGTTAAAACTGCCACCAAAATTTAAAATTTAAAAAAAAAAATCACTGGCTGGTACTGAAAGGAAACCTGCCCAGTACATGGCTTTTGGTCTCTGAAACCCGGTTCTCCAGGCAGCCATCCCCGCACTCCCAGCACTTCGTCTCTGCTCCTAATTCTGTGTCTTTACTGATAGGACAGTGCGGGCTCAGAGAAGCAAAGTAGCCTGGGCTCTCTGGGTGGGAATGAAAACAGATCTGCCAAATGCCCTCCCCGCCACAGTCCACTGCCCCAGCACTGGCCAAGCTGTGTAACTCCGCCAACCTTCCGTGTCTTGCATATTCCTGGCAAAGGGTAACACTGAAGGTTCAGTCATTTGCTGCAGATTCACAACCTAGTATGTGGGCAACAAATGTGGGTTTTCCTTCCTGTTTCTCTTTGGTAGAGCTGGGCAAGGCCAGCATTTCTTTCCCTTCCTAGACTTGGAGAGTCTTTATAATATCACCCTGGAGGCCACAGGGCCTGGACAAGGCCACAGGGACTTCTCAGCAAGAAAAGGACCCCTCCCAACTCCTGCTGAGTGGCAGGGCAGGCCAGGGTGACCTTGTACACTCTGGACCTGGCTGCCTGTCACCAGGTCACCGAGCAGTGTGCCGCCCTGAGCGGGGTCAGTGAAAGGCCGGCTGGTAGAGCCATGACCACAGGGTCTCAGCTGTGGAGGAGGAGTAGAGAAAAGCCCGCTCCGACCAGGGAGAGAGAGAGGAAGGAGGTGAACGCTCCCCATGAGAAGCCAGGGTAGAGATGATTTATGCACAGTCTTTGGGAACACATGAAAAATATGTGCCATTGATTTTAAGAATTATGTTTAGGAAACCTCTGGATATTTTTAAATATGGAAAGGCTGCCCAGATAAGAGAGCAGAAATAGATGTTATGGAATTAAAAGGGGATTTAGCATTCCCACAGATGAGATCCTGCACTGGCTGCCCGACCAGTGGCCACCTGCCTGGACCCTGGCCAGTGGCTCTACTTATCCCCCTGCGTGGTACCCCTTCCCAGAGAAAGAAGTCTGCCCCGAACCGTGGGAATCTGTCTACCTCTTTTGCATGACAGCCAGCAAAACTGTGTGACATTTGCTTATGCTCACTGCAGATCTTACCTGAGAAGGCCCCTCTGCTTTGCACCAGACATGCACTGCTCTGGGCTCTGGGGGGTGCCGGGCACAGTGAAAAACAGTGGGCAGGATGGTACCTTCCTGGGGCATCCGGCCTGATGACTGCTTCTCTTCTTCCTTCAGGTCCCCTGACCATCCGGGCTCCCAGGGTGACCCTGTGAGTTCTGGCACCAGGAACATGGCACTATGGCCTTTGTGATGGCCCACACACACCCCTTTTTTAGTAATCAAACTGCATTACTGACTTATTCGAGTATAACCAAGCCTTCTGTTCCTTTCTCCTTGTGTTATTCCACACGTCTTCCACGGTGCCTAATGTAGGCGAATTTTGGACCTAAGCTTCAGGACATCACTTTGACCTCTGTGGACTCCATCCATTCACACAGCCCAGGACCCCGGTGTTTCAAGACTGTTATCAGATTTCCCTGTGATCCAGTGGTTAGACTATCCTCATAGGCTCCCTGACAGCAGGCATCAGCAAAGCATCTTGTGTGTGTCTTTGTTTAGGTGGTGGATGTCCTGGGTACCATTCAGAGAGGTCACTCAGGCTTAACATCACTCTGTTAATCCCCATCTCAACAGTCCACAGTTAGGGATCCTCCAAACCTTAATGTTTTCCAGCCGTATTTATCCATCTTGTCCACATGGATAACATGAAAAATTTTGTCAAAATGCTTTGCTATAACTCATGTGCTTTCCGGCTACCATAAGCTTTGATGTACTAGATTTTTAAATGAAGTTTGGCTGGCAGGTCACCGTGTTTACTAGCAAATGCTGACTGCGCCTCCTGGTGACTTTTGTTGCTTCTAAGAGCCTCCCATGTCAGTAAGAGTCCTGTTCCTCTCAGCTTTCTCTCCTGTGAGACTGTTGCAAATCTATTTTCTAAAAGAATATGAGGAGCGTAGGACTGGGCACCCTATGTCGTGAGCTCTGGGATAGAGCAGTCATATGTGTACCCAGGGCTCCAGTTCTGACGCTTTTCCCAGACAACTCCTTGTACCCAGGCTGGGGTCCAGGCAGTTCCTGTCACCTCTGCTCCTGGCCCAGGCAGGAGTATGTCAGCTGCCAGCATCCTGGAGGCTACCCCCACACTGCCTCTTGCTTCTCAGACAGTGTTGGGAATGCTCTTCCCTTCCTTCTAGCACAGCAGGGATGTCCCATACTGATCACTTCCATCTTCTCCCCTGTTAGCACCTCAATAAATTTTTCTGTGAAGAAATTACCTTAGGGCCTTTCTGAGCGTGGAAATTGGACCTGATGCAAACCCTTCGAATTGCTCACCCTGGGCTGACCATGGCCTAGAGCTCCCCAGGGTCCTCAGATGGCCTAAAGGGGCTCCGCCCCTGGAGGGGCACAGGAAGGAGCCCCCAATGCCAGCTCAGAGCAGGCTAGAACAGTAGCTGTGCATGCGTCCCTTTCCTTCCGGCTCCCAGTGGCAGAGAGGGCCTCTGAAATGGGGTGCAGTGTAAGGAAGTGTCGCTTACAGATTCCGCGTCCTAAATACATCTATCATACATATACGTTATTGCTATCAGTATCCAAGCTTTACAAGTTAGGGCTTTGGGGTCACTGCCTCTTACCTGCATGACCTTGGCAGGCTCTGACCTCTTGGAGCCTTAGCTTCCCAATCTGCAGAGTGAGCAGGAGTGGAATACATGTGGCACGCCTGGCCTGGCAGCAGCACGGGCAGGGTCCGAGTTCAGAGCGTTCATACACGTTGCCGGGCTAAGTGTCCCCTCGTAGCCCACATCGGGCACTTGGTGTCTCCCGAGACACTGGGTGGGACGTGGCTCTGTCCCTGTCTGGAAGGCTGTGGCTTCCCAAGGATCCTTTACTCACAGACTTACTTCAGCTGTAAATAAGCATCCCGCGTAGGTGCTCAGCAGCCAGGAGTATGTTTGAATGCATGGAGTATAAGGACATTTTGCCACCCCGCTTCTGGAGAAGTGCCCCGCACACTGCTGCAGGGTTCAGATGCTTCTCTTCCGGGCCGTTGACAGCAGGGTGCGGGGCCCTGCCTGCAGGTGTCTCTGGGAGCCTGGTGGCCACACTGAAGCCAGCGGCCTTCCCCAGGGGTCCCCAGCACAGCCGCAGTGGCACCCGTGCCCTCTTTCTCTTCAGACCACCAAAGGAGGCTTTGTTTTCCTTCTCTGAAATCAGTCATGGTTTAAAATCAGCCCTCTGGTTCATCTTTGCTGACCCAGAAGAATGCGACCGGCACTTTCTCCTTCCCCTTCTTCCCTCTTGCTCTGCCCCTTCCTGCCTCTGCTGCTCTCGTGCCCTCAAATTGAAAGACTGTCCAGTACTTAGAGGCCCGGGAAGTCTTGATTCTAAAAGACATGGGGAAGCAAAGACTGTCACTTCCTGGAACCCACTCCCTCAGGCTGCGAGGGCCGTGCCCCTCTCCTTCCTAAACCCACAGCTTACCACAGAGTCAGCACCCTGCAGGCTCGCCCACACCCCCACCTCAGGGCTGCTGATTCCCCACAAAGGACCGCGAGGCTGAGTTTAGGGGTACAAAGTCCTAATGGAGAACCCAGATCTTGGGTTCCAGAGACCACGCTTTGCAGGCCTTGAGTCTATTGGCAGAGGTGGCCTTGCCTCACCTATGGCAAGACCTCCAGCACCATCGTGCCTGCAGAGCCCCCTCTGACACTGTGATTAGCAGAGCGAGAGTGCTCAGGGAGACAGGCTCCTGGTCACACTTTTCTCTTTGATAGTGACAGCCTGGGGATGCTGTAGATGGGGAAAGGAGGGGCTCTGTGGAAAAGGAACCCCTGAGACACCTGGCTTCCAGCTTCACTGGGTACCCAATTCATACCCTTCCCATCGTGTCCTGTTAAAGTCAAGCAGACTCAAGGCTCGAGTCAGCCCTGAAGCCCTGGAATGGTGACAGTCAGTGACAGTGACTGCTGTGTCTCATCTCCACCCATGGGGCTGGGCAGGCACTGTAACTGCAGTCCTTGACTCACAGCACCATCTTCCTGGGCAAGGGACTTAGCTGCTCATCAGAAGTCCCAGCTGGAACTCAGACCCAGGCAGCCTGAGTCCCAGAACTCAGGATTCCCCATCCCTCCCCTTCAACCCAGGAAGGATGCCCTGCTCAGCTCAGAGTGTCTGATGGACTTGCCACCACCGCTTCCTCGCGGGGCGCGGCCCACTCCTCCTGCCTGTGTCATCTCCTTCCTGCTGTCAGCTGTGTGGGCTCCTACCACTTCCAGCCAGGCGGCCAGACGCACGGGTGGGGCGGGTGGCTTTCTAAACCCAGCCCTTCGCTGGTCCCAGAGCCACACCTGCCTGGTGTAGGAGGGCACAGAGGCACCTGTCTCCTTCATAGGTTGTGATCCCTAGAGATGGGTGCCTACTGTCACCCCAGGGCCCCCACTCCTCGCTCTGGGTGTTACCTGGCTCCAGCCAGGGACTCACTTGTACTCTCTGTGTTGATGTCTTGTGGGACATTGATAATGTCTTCAGTGCCATTTTCTCTCCTTTCTCCTTTTGCAGCGATGGATGGTGTGCCTTTTATGATCTCAGAGAAGTTTTCGTGTGTTCCAGAAAGTGTAAGTTTTATGCAAGATCACCCCTCCTGCCACCTGCAGCCTGAAGTTCCTTCACCTCGGTTTCCATGCATGCAGACAGCTGTGGGTATCTCACAGTGCCCTTCCCAGGGGAATCATCTTTGCCTCTCTCCCCCCTCGAGACCTGAACCCCGCAATCCGATGACTGTGACTCCAGAGTGCTGTGGGGAGGGGTCGTGCCCACCTCTGGGTCCGTAGGTGCTTGAGAAGTGGAAGAAAAGAGCAGTGAGACCTGGTGGGGAGTGAGACGGACGGGTGGACTGGCTCACATGCAGCCTGACCTGTTGTTTCCACCATCATGCTGAATTCCACTTCACTGGTTGTGAAGTCTCTGTTTCTCAAGTTCAGCTTCGTCATTCTCATTCTTCTTTATTTAACAATGACACTGTCTTGCCACAAGGAGGCAGTCCCATTTTCCTGTTGCCATTGCTGCATCCGGTTTTGTGGCTCAGAGGACTCTGTGGCCGTGCGGGGGCCCTGGCTGCAGGTCTCTGGCTGCACTGACCCCACCATACACATGAGCCCACCAAGCTGCACAGAGGGGCTGAGTGAGCTGGCCTGGACTAGAGGCCAGGATCGGACCACAAGAGCCACCTGCCACACTCAGGGCCCTGTGCTGGGTTGCAGACCCCAAGTGGCCCTGCTGGGACACCTCTCAGAGCCTACACCCCAGGATGGCAGTGGCCCTCCCTCAGTGCGTAGGCCTGGCCCACACTAGCTCAGAAAATTTGTTCCTGGCATTTTATCCTTTCTGCAGAAGATTGCTTTGAGTAACATGAAGGCCTCAGTTTGGGCACAAGCTAGAGACCCCTTCAGTGTTTTTCTTGGACCCAGTTTAAAACCACCCTGCTTATGATTTGACCTGATCTGTAGTTTCCATTTTCATGAAATATAATAGGCCTCCTCTGAACCCTTCTGGTAAGCAGCTTAATCTTGAAAAATGCTCCTGACGTGACATGCGGAGCTTGAGTAACTTCCGCAGACTCCACTTGGCTGCGTTGCCATGGAGATCCTGGCACCTCTCCCGCCAGCTCCCTGGGAGAGGCAGCTCTGCCCTGCTCCCCAGCTCCAATTGGGAAAGTTTAGTGGCGTAGTTAGAGCCTAATGATGCAACAGCTGGACCTCTGCTGGATCCGGGCAGCACGGGCAGGTGGCCCCATGCTCCTGCCCCTCGGGCTGGCAGCACGAAGAGAGCCAAACTGTTTTGTGGCTACTGGCAGAGCAGCCTTGGGAGTGCAGTGCCTAATTTGGTGGCCCTGTCCCAAGATTGCCCTCGCAAATGTGCTGCTGCCTACTCAGCAAGTGCTCGAGGCCACGGACTCAGGCCAAGCCCAGCTCGAGCCCTTCCAAGCACTTCTCTCCTTTAGTGCCCCAGTGCCCAGCCAGGAGGCCCGCCCAGGCAGCTCTTTAACCCGCTAACCAGCTAACGGGCAGGTAAGCGCTGCAGTGGCTTACCCTGCAGCTGCATCGCAAGGAGCCTGGTTTTGAATCCAGGTCCTTAGACTCCAGCTGGCCTCTTGCTGGAAACGCTAGTGCAGGCACTAGCTCCGTGCCCACCGCTGGGCTGCTGCAGGTCAGAACCACCTCTCGGGTTCCACCTGCTCATCCCAGGCTGCCAGCTGCTGACCCGGGCCCAAGAGGCTGGGCCACTTGCCCTTTTGGAAATGTAGACCTAATGTGTGCCCACAGGGGCTCAGACCAGGGCTCCTCTGTGTTTCAGCCCAGCCACATGGGCCTCCATCCAGCTCGCACTGCCTGTGTATTTGGCTTTTTATGGAAACATTTGCAAAGGAAACATTTGCAAAGAAAGGTCCTCATATTTGTGCTATTATAGAAATATACACACACCGTTAGAAGTTAGACATGGTGGTGCATACTTTTAATCCCAGCACTCTGGGAGGTGGAGGCAAGAGGATCACAAGTTCAAGCCCAGCCCAGGCAATTTAGTGATTTGGCCTCAGCCTGTCTCAAACACAAAACGATTGTAGCTTGATGTAATTCCCTGGGTTTGATCTCCAGTACTACGAAAAGGGAGGGAGGGAGGGAGGGAGGGAGGGAGGCCCACCCATTCAGATGCAGTGTTATTTCTCACCACCACTGGTGTCACAAATGGTAACTGATGGGCAGTTGCTTCATTCAGGTGCATTTTCAAAGACCCGGAGTTCCCTTAGCTCCTTCTCTGCCTACACAGGCTCCTGGAACCCCTTAGACACCCTGTAGACACAGTGGTCAGCTTGGCCCCTGGTGACACTTCCCATCCCACAGTTCCAGCACCAAGGAGCAAACCTTGCCCTCGCTTGCTTGTGGCAGCAATGGGAGAGAGGTGAAGCTGATCACCCACAGTGACTGTCATCGCCCTCCTGGGTGCCACAGACATGACCGAGCAGTGGCCCCCCAGGACAAGGGCTCGGTGCCACTGGCGGCCGCCATGCTCTTTGTCACTCTTCCCTGTACCCTCACCAGTGACTACAGTCACGGTGACAGGTTCCTGTGGAAGCGGGTGGGGAGATGCCGGTTCCCACAGGATGGTTTGAGATTTCACTATTGCCATGAATAGAAGCAAATATAAAAAGAGGGTTTTCTGGCCATTTAAAAGGGTGACTTGATTGTATTTCCAGATGCAGCCCTTTGATCTTTTGGGAATCACCATCAAATCTCTAGCAGAGATTGAAAAGGAGGTAAGTGAGCTGCTCAGAGTGGTGGTAGGTGGGCCTAGGTCAGAATCTGCGTCCAGGACCAGCAGAGAGATAGGGTGCCCTTCTGGGGGAAAAAAAAAATCTTCACTCAAATTTATTTCTTAGAAAAAGTAACTCATTTTTCATGCTTTTATTACTTCCAGTCGAATACAACCAACATCTCATCTTCTCTAAGTCAGAAGGTTTTAAGTGGCACATGGAACAATCAGTTCTATTTCATTTTCTAAAAATGGCCCAGCTCAGCAAAGGGGGAGGTTGGGGACAGGCACAAGGTTTTATGATTTCCCAGCAGGAGGGTCTTGGGGGAAGTGGTCAGACCTTGATGTGACGTAGAGGGTGGGTCAGGGCACCTTGTACAAACTGGGTGAGTCAGACCCACTTGGCAGCCTGGTTTGTGGGAGCTTGGGCATGTCCCTATAAAAAAAGACATCCAGGATCAGTGTCCAGAGAACTCTGAAGACACAAGGTTAAGATGATGGAATCAAACTAGAAGTCGGATCTGCCAGGAGTGTCTGCGTCTTCTAAGATAGCACTGGAGCGCGTGTCGTCTTTTATGTATAGAAGGTTGTTAAACAGTCACGTGCTGCAGCCAGCTCTCCTCGGAGAGGAACATTTGTCTGAAAGATGGAAATGGTAGAACCATTTCAATATTCTCAGTTCCTTGGGGTTTTCTCTTGTGTACCCAGCTAGCAGAAGCAGGTTGCATTATTGAAAGATGGCTGAAATCAAGGAAAATTGAATCAATGTAGTACAACAAATTTCCAAAGCTGTCATAGCAAAAATAAGACAAAAAACTCCCCCTTTGTCTTTGATTTTCAGTAAATCACAAAAACCAACCTGATTGCCATCTATAGTTTCTGGGGTGTTTTTTGTAGTAACTTAGTGGGGGAGATGTCTGGGGCTGCAACCTTAGAAATGTAAGTGCACATAGACTTTCACATCTGCCCTTGTTCAAAGCAAGGTAGCGGAGGGTGGCGCTGAGGCGACCTGCTTGTGTCACCTCTGCACAGGTCCCAGGAGCCTAGAGCCTGGCGGCTGTGTGGGGAAGGCCCTGGAAGGTGGCCTGCTCCAGCTGCAGGTGGGAAATCAGGGCTCTGGCCTTGGATTGTTAAAGACCAAATTCATGCTTGGGGCGTGGGGTTAGTCAGCACGCCTCTGTATTGAGAGCAGGGATAACAGTAGAACCAACCCCCAAGGGGTGTTTTTTGGACGTTGACCGTGCAGGCTAGGGAAGGGCTGACAGCCACAGTCTCCCATCACCAGGGTCTGATATTGGGAGGAAGGGCGTGGCCACCCCAGCATCAAGCTTTCTGAGCTGCAGTCCTCACCATGAGCTCACTTGTGTGCTGTGACAACTGCATCTTTACGTAAGCTCCTGCTCCGTGCACAGCTCTGGGCCATGGGCTTTGTGTACCTTGTCACTGGTCCTTACCCCAAGCTGATCGCAGGGGCCTCGTTCCTTCCTATTCTATGGGACAGAAACTGAAAGTCCTGGAGGCACAGTTTTAGGAAACCTGCCCACGCAGGCTCGAGACCTAAGTCTGTCCTTACGGCCCTGCACGGGGGCTCTGGAGCCATGGGAACAGAGGGGCTTGGGAGGCCAGCTAACTTGGGTTCCAGCCCTGACTGGGCCTTTGAGTTGCTGGGAGCAGGAGCCTGGGGAGGAGGCCCAGTGCAGGGCCAGGGTATATGGCAGGAACAAGGGCGACCTTGGTTCTCTTTCCCACTCGGAGGACTAAAGTCTGGTTGGAGGTCCCATCAGCACACATTGTCTCAATGTCAGGTGCCCGGAGTCAGGGTGTGGCTGCCCGGAGGCAAAAGGCCAGGTGGGGAGAGAGATCTGAGGACAGTGCCTGGGCTTCAGCTCCTCTGCTTGACCTTTCAGGGCCTCGGTTTCTTTAGTGTAAAATCAAAGTAGTAGTAAAAACCCTTAATCCCACAATATTTATGGGTTGAGACAGCTGTGTACAGCACAGAGGGGTGCTGCCGCAGTCGCTGCTGCAGCCGTGGTCACGGTCATCATCACCACGCCTGGTCTCCCTGGCCACAAATTAGGGCATGACACGGCATCCATCCATTGCCCTTCAGCAGGTCCACCGCCCTCTGAGGTGACCGAGGAACATCACCCCCCATCCCCCGACCAAGCCTCGCTGTTCTCATTTTAGTGATCAGTAAAAATGAACAGGTCAGTGTTCAATATTGAAGTAAATTAAAGTTGCTTTTAAAGTAAATTGGGAAAATAGAGGTGAGAAGGTTCCACAGGATGTGAAACTACATGTCACTGCAGCAGGAGATGCCCTGGAATTTTTCACGTGATCAAGAATGTAAAGGCAGCCTACGGCAGCCATCTGTACACATCTGATGGTGAACAGTGTCTTGGTAGCCACACCCTGTGAGTAGCTCCTTCCCTACGGCAACCTCAGAGGACTGCCTCATAAATAAACCCGGAACTGCCCTTTTAGCTCCCGACTTCAGTTCAGAGCTGCTTGTAGGAGTCAGAGACCTGAAGAGGAGGCGCTTCTGCAGCTACCTCTATGTGTTGGACCTGGAACAGGCAGGGTGTCCCCCGAATCAGACCAAATATTTCGTGGGTGGGGATGAGTTCTTTTTTACAGTATTTTGTTCTTTTCCATTCTAAGTGAGTCCATTTACCTTTGGAGAGGGGTCCCAGGATCTTGGCTTAGAAATTTGCTTTGCTAACTGCAAACCTTTTCATTTTACACACCATTAAACCAAACCCAAAAATAAAGAGTAAGAAAGGTGAGACAGTGCTTTGGGGTTCAGGGCACAGGCTCATGATCCCAGACACCTCCCAGATCCCCCCAGGTTTCTTTTGCAAGGCAGGAGAGCTCCGTGTCAGGAGAGGCTGCTCCGCCCCGGGCAGGTGCGTCCCCGAGGGCGGAAGTGCGTCCCCGTGGGCGGAAGTGGTGTCCACACCTGCAGGAGAAACTCGTACTCAAGGAGCTGAGTGAGCTGCCAGAATCCCCAACAGGAAAGTTGCCACCAAGAGGCATGAGCATGGTCCCGGCTGAATGATCCACAGCCCGCCCACTCGGCGGGGCCCCAGCTTGAAAGCAAAGACCACCGCCCGACGCTGAAGCCAGCGCGTCCTTCTGTCTGTCCGTGTCAGGGCTAGTTGCTTTCCTGCCACCCTGCTGAGTCCCTGTGTCCCCCTCTTGGCCTCAGGAACCCCTGCCCAGGTCCTCTGTGAGCATGGTGGGCGAGGGACCTGAGCGGAAGAGCCTCAGATGAACTCCACACCAGCACGCACCAGCCTGCAGCCTCGGCGTCCACACAGCCTGCACACACGGAGCCGCCTGGCGCCGAGCAGCTGGCGGTCACCGGTCATGAGCTCAAAGGAGTGTGACGCTCAGTGCTGGCGGTCAGGGACTCCGAGAGCAGGAAGTGGGGACGCGCGCTGGCTGGCATCTCAGTGTGGGGCGGGTGTCTGTGGACGTGCGGATGGCAGAGGGGCGGTGGTGTGGGGGACAGGACACAGGCCCCGGTCTGCAGGCTGCAGGGCGCCAAGTCCGCCACGTAGGCCTGGCCCCGGGACACATTGTCATCGCCCCTCGCGCACGCTGGAGTGCAGGCCCGAGGTCCCAGCGCATGTGCCAGGCGTCTCTGCCGGGTCCTTAAGCAGATTTTGGGAAAAAAGAAAAAGTCACTGGAAAGAGCAGAAATCGGACGTACCCAGTGGCGTGGGTGGGGGATGGAGGACGCCGCGATTCGTGAGTGAAGGCAAACCCGAAAGCAGCCGCCATCCCTGCCGCCCAGCGCAGCCAGCACGCAGAGCTGGGGCCTTGTGTCCGCGCGGGATGCGTGTGAATTAGTCCCGCCCGCCCGGCTCTCCTCACCGCGGGAGGGGCTGAGGGTTTTCTGGCCTGTCCCCCTGGGACCAGGCAGCAGCGTTCTGCTCTGCAGGAGGGCAGCGAGGGGCCCAGTGAAGCCCTCGCCGTCCCCGCCCCAGCTGCAGCGGAGAAGCTGCTCCAATTCCGCAGGCAGCCGGGTGATGAAGCGGCTCCTCTCGGAGTGAGAAGACGGGCGTATAAATATTCCCCGTCTCCGCCGCTCTTTATTTCCCTTGTAAGCAGTGGCTCCATTTCTCCATCTGATGGATTCCCCCTCGCAGCCAGGGTGGGCGCCCTAGCTCTGCGTCCAGGCGGCAGCCTCGCAAATAATCCTGCGCCTCGGTTCCCGCTTACCCTCTTCTCCCACCACCCGCCGTACCGCCCCGGGCCTCCATCCCGCCGGCCTGCCCGGTCCTCCCGCCACTTGCCCACGGCCCAGGAGGCTGCGGCCTTGACCACGTGCACCGGTACCTCCGCCAGTCCCGGGGTGAACTGCACCGGGCAGCGGGGAGCCACGCGAAGCCGCCTTCTCACCCCAAAACCAGGGTGCACACCTTCAAAAACGAGGCCGATGGAAGAGCTCATTAGCCTACCTCGCTTCCTGGGGAGCAGCCGGCCTCCATTTTCATTGGACTGGGAGTCTGGGAGAGGAGGGAGCGTCTGATTAGTAAAGGGACGATCTAATATTAATCACTCCCTTAAAGTTGACAAGGGAGGCAGTTCATTTAACCACTTAATTGCTACAGGTTTTTATGGGCTGCTGTTTGCAGACATTTAATGAAGAAGTTATAAATCTAAGGGAGCTTAAAATTTTAATTTTATACCTAAATATTTTCCTTGTTCTCCTGTTTGTAGTCAATCCTCCAGAGTGTAGTCACGTGGAATGTTCTTTAAATGAACATATTTGCTAACTGGCGTGATTTCAGTTTTTAAAACATTGGTTCCAGCAATTAGGCATTTTTTTTCAGTTCCCAAATGACTAGAGAAATTCGTCTTGATTATAATTGCTCTTAGCCACGCATATCTAATTTGTGTCTTTTTAAGTGTTAATTAGTAAACAGTTTGAGCTGACATCTTTATGTGTTTGTGTGTTGAAAAATGGGGCTTATTGCTTATTTAGCTTGGGGCCGA